TTTTCAGACTCATAGTTTACTCGTTTAGTGCTTCTGAACTACTTAATTACTATTGTGATTGTTGTAAATAATAGCACTTTAATCTCTAATTATTATTATTATTAATCAAAATTAAAAAAAAAAAAAATTAATATCATATTTAAAAAAACTAATTACAAAAGTTTTCTCCATTTTAAATAAATGTATATATGTCTGTGTATTTGTATTTATTTATAGTTAAATAAAAAATTAAAAAAATAAAATAAACAAGATTTTGTATACAGCTGGTATTTTATCAAATAGTCTCATAAAATGCTCTACACTGAATCAACTGGATTGAAAGACTTATTAAGCTATTCAGAGAGCGATAGAAATTTATTATTACGGAGATCTAGGCTATCAATATTAAACGTGAAAATCTGTTTACATCATGAGCTACTTTTACTTAACGGGTCAGCTAACTCCCAAAAAAATTGCATCGACTCATATAAAAGGCATAGAACTATATAAAAGATATAAAAGATTGATTTATATGTTCTCAATTAATTGTGCTGCCTTTTTACAAAAACTACATCTAATTTTAAAAATTTTAACATTTATATTTCAATTCAAAATTATTAAATTATCTAAATTATTATTTTCTAATTTTGTCAAATTTTTTTATTTATAATATATTTATAGGTTTTTTTTTGAGAGAAATTGATATTCAAATGGCAAAAGATATATGTTCAAATGGTAAATAACACCTGGTTTGAAAATGTTTCCTTCATGTTGAAAAAAAAGTGGCAAAAAAAAAAAAGTTGATTGGTTTACCTTACAGGACATAATCAAGATGATTTTTTGGAACAAACATTTTCTGATGAAGATATAGAAATTGCACAAAAAAAAACTTATAAACACCAGTTTTGATAAATTAGATGTATCACCAGCATAATTTTATGGGGTTCTACAACATGCTAAAATTTCATGTCAAAAAAGCTATCATTTATCCTCAATGTTAAACAACAGACCTTAAAAATGATGTTACTGAGGAGCCCAATGTTGAGCAAGAGAAGAAAGCTGAAGATCTACATAAACTGATACTTTCAATGCAAGAAAAGCTGAAAAAACACACAGAAGGGAAAAGGTTCAGGTTTTGACATCGACATGAGATATTTAATATATCAAAGTCAACCATAACTAAAGCAAGAAAACTTAAATTTGAAAAAGGAATATAACCATTTCAGAAAACACTAATATTTTTAGAATTGAATCAGATATCCTTGATAAGGTTGAAAGCTTCTATTGTAATGATCAGTTCAATTGGCAGTTGCCAGGTATAAAAGATTTTGTAAGTGTATCTAAAAATAAACATGTATCAAAGCGATTACTTCTTTGCAATTTATAAAAATTATATGTTGAATTTAAACTAGAGCACCCTCAGTCCAACAGGGTTTTTTAAATTTGCTCAGTTAAAGCCAAAATGGTGTATTTATGCATGCCATAAAGGAAGCCATGCTGTTTGAATATGCACGATACACCAAAACCTAAAGCTTATGTTTAGCGCAGTTACACTGGAGAAGAATTACCATGAACTTATTGAAAAGATTGCTTGTACCAGAGAGTCAACAGAAAGTGTGGTCCATAGATGTAATCAGTACCCTGGAATTCAAAATATTACCAATCAAATAACTCCAAATCTATTTCAAATTGAAAGATAATTTGTAGAGAATGACAAAATTGATTATGATAAAATAATTGAATACAAACAGTGGAGAACAACTAATAGAGCAAGGCTTCTAAGTTACATGTCTACAATAGATGAAGTCATTGAATGTCTTAGTGAAAGACTTGATAACATAACATCTCACTCTTATATTGCTTAAGCACAAGGTAAATATTTAAATACATTAAAATCATCTATACTCATAAATGAAATTATTGTTTTGGTTGATTTTGTAGAAAACTTTAAGTTTATCGTGCAAAACGAAATCCAGAGTTACCACTGGAACCAACAGCAATCCGCACTACATCCTGTAGTTATTTATGACAAAAATGATGAGGGTGTCACTAAAAATCAGCCAACATCTTTATGTTTTATATCTGATGACTTTAAACATGATGTCGCTATAATTTTTTCTTAAAGTCAGGGTAGTGATTTCTGATTGGTTGATTTTTTTTTCTTTTATTTGAAGAATGCATGCTCTAACCAAACCAATAATCAATGTATATGCGTCTATCCTTAAATCAGTCGATGTAAATACACTCACTGTGCCTATCCCTAAATCAGTGGATGTACGTACACTCACAGCACCTATCCCTACATCAGACGATGTATGTACATTCACTGCACCTATCCCTATATCAGTCGATGTAGACAAATAATAAAAATTAATGTAATTTTCAATATACAACAATAATAACTTTCAAAAAAAAAAATCAAAAAACATTTAAAAAATATTTTCTAGGTAAAGGAGTTAATCCTGGATCGCCGTGGTATAAGAAACAATGAGATACCACACTGCCTAACAATCCCTCAGCACTCATTTTGAATAAGGTTTTAGCAATTTAGCAATAATAAAATTTTATTATTGCTAAAGTTCAACATGCTTACAAACGTACATAAAATATAAAAACACGATGATATCACAAATTATCCATTCAACTATGCTTAAAACATTTTACTAAAAGAGTTACTACTTAACAGTAATTTATAATATGCTGAAGTTCAATTAGGTACTTATAAAAAAAAAAGCAGCGTAAAAAGTCTTATTAAAACCCAAGTGAAAAGAAATTTAAATGACTTTTTTAATGTTTATGTTTTCAGAACATTTTACGGCTTCTACCATTTTGAGTGGAGTGATAACATTACAATCACATGACAATCTCGACCAATTTATTCTAGATATCTCAACGAAAACTTAATACTAACTTTAAAACAGAATACTGTAGAACGTTATTTCACATAGTCAGCATATTTTTTGAACCAATAGAATTTGCATGTTTGTAGATTTGGCAGGGTTTTACTGTTCGCGAATATTTCTTATTCCGCATCTAGATGTGAACATTCTGAGAACATTCTAAGTTTATGTATGTCCGTAAAACAAAGTTTTTAAATACATAAAATGTTCTCAAAATATCTTTAAAATGTGGCCAAATCGTCGCAACTTAATATTATTTTCATGATCAGTAATCGAGTACAATTGCACCCGTTTCCCAACCAAGCCTGCAGGATGCAACAAGCATAATGTCAAAAGAGTCTCTAAGCATGAGGAATTTAATCGAAAATTCAACTATACTGGCTCAATACAATATCTTCAAGAATTCATTGCAGGAAAATAATATATCCGAAAACATGATATATTTAACTGGCTTGGTTTGGTATTTAAAGTTGATAAAAGAAATGAAGACACTCTTGTAAAACTCATGCATCCTCATTTACCTAACGAATTACACTAGCCAAGTAGAGATGATTTTTTTGGGATCCTAAGCCAGGGTTTCTAATACCAGTTAGACACAGATGATATTCCCAAAATTCAATTTTTAATTAACTCAATCTTACTACACCAGTTTTCTTTTATAAGCAAATTATGAATAAATCAGATGCAAGTTCTGCTTTTTTATTGACTAGTTTTTATTTAAAACTTGTATTTTTTTAATTAACTCAATATATTACATTTATTATGAATTTTAAATTTTTACTATTGATAGCAAACGGTCCAGAAGAAATTTTAAAGGAGGGAGGGGAGTCTGTTATTTACCGACTAAAGCCAAACAAAATTTTTTGCCCACTAACTTATATAAATAAAAAAAAAGAGGTAGTTGTTAATTGACATTTGCCGACTGCTAACTAAATTATTATTTTACCGACTCTAGTATCCAATTTGCTGACTAATAAAATTTATAGGGGGCTAGACACTCCCTACGCCCCGCATAGGACAGCCCTAATTAACAGAAGTTTTTTTTATAATGGAAATTTTCAAAATAATTAATTTTTTAATAAGTAACATCTCAATGCACTTGTTCATTATAATTTTTTTAGTTACTTATAATTAAAAAATTAATTCTACAATGGTTACCAGGCCTCCTTTCCATCTTTTTTAAAAATTTAAAAACAGCCATAAGCAAAGTACAATTCCTATATTGATATAATTATAAATATTTTGATTGAAAACAAATATTCTATTCTGATTTCTCATCCTAAAAACTATACTGATGCTAATTTTCAGATTAATTACATGTTTAGTTACACAGTAACTTGCAAAACATAAACTATAGTAAAATCAAAATGGCTGCCAAACAAAAATAACTGCTAAAAATAGTTGATTTTAAAGATATAAAACCCATTTGATATCAGTTCTAATAAAACCCATTTAATATCAGTTCTTGAATTGTGCAAGGTAATTTATGTTACATAGGTGACCATTTTTACAAAGTATGAACAAAATCTGAAATGGTAGGTTACATGCATTAAAAATTTGCCCCACTTTCTCTAGGAATACCTCAGTTCCTTTTAATTTAATTTCATAATTTTTATACATTTTTTATTAGTAAATAAACTTAATGAAATGAATTGATAAAATTCACTATTTTTTATTAATAAATAACAGTTAGCAATAATTGTATATTAATTATCATTAAAATGCATAAAAAATTGTTTTAAAAAAATAAAAACTGATTAAACTCAATAAATATCTTAAATATATCTTACAACTTATTAACTCAAATAAAAACTATTTGAAAATTAAACTTCTTTATTATATATATATATATATATATATATATATATATATATATATATATATATATATATATATATATATATATATATATATATATATATATATATATATATATATATATATATATATATATATATATATATATATACATATATATATATATATATATATATTGTATATAATAATATTGTATAATGCAAAAAAATTCTGCAGTACATTATATGTACAGCAGAATTTATCTTAAAAATAAATGTTATTAGGTTAAAAGATCCCAACAAAAATAACATAATATATACTTACCAATTCAGATGCTTTTTTCCAATAAGGTAACCCATTAGCTGTGAATACACATTTGTTTAGATCAGATAGCTTGTCAATTTCAAATAAATCACCCCAATTCAAAGCATCAGCAATATATCTGGAATTAGGTGGTGATAAAAATTATAAAAGCAAAATTTATATAGAGATAAAAAATCCAACAACTATATCTGAGAATATTAAAGCCTACACAACAGACATTTTGCTAATGTATTACATATAGAAAAAAAAATGTATAAAAAAATGTGAATGATGACAGTGAAACCGTTTTCATTAACATCACATTGTTTTAGCTTTTTTTTTATTAATATCCTTAAAATAAATAAAAGTGGTACTTACCACTCAATATTTAAAACTATTTAAATCTTTAAAAAGAATACTTGAATTAAAATACTATTAACATTTCCTTTCTTTTCTTTTTATTATCATCAACATTTATTATTTTATTTCTGCATATAAACAGAAAACCAAATACATTCTTAAGTATATAAAAATTTATAAATACTAAATAATCCTTTTTTTAATATATTTATATAACCTTATATTTGCTTATACTTTTATAACTGCTTATGATTTCACTATCATTATAGGCACTTAAAATGACCCAAAAAAATCCTATCAGAAAATATTTTTTTCGACATACTTAATCAACTCAAAATTATAATAAGTAATAAGTTAAACAAAACTTTACTACTAAATTAACTAAAACTTAATTAATTTAACAAAAACTTGATTAGAGTTAATAACTATTTGAGTTGATAGTAATACTGAAGTTAAACTTTTTAAATAATGAAAATTCTATGTTTAAGGCATATATTTTTACTAGTATCTAGCAAACAAAAGGAAGCATTTGTTTTGTCAACAATGTTAATTGTCAGGCAGATTTGACCGGCATTATCAGCTTTATCCACTGATACTTATGATCAAAAATATAATTGAAGAACATTCCATTGTTAAGGATCCTCTTTATGACTTCAGTAAACAAAAAAAAAATAACCCAGACCTGTTTTATCTTCGATTTTGATAATGTCAAATAAAGAATTGACTAATTTTTTAGTTTTTGCATCACAGAATTGCACAAAATTGCACATTTGTAGAGAAGTTAGTACTAGGGTGCCTTAAAACCAAAACCCAAAAATAAAAAAAGAGCAAAATCCCACCAAAAATCAAACTTAATAGGTTTATGGTCTCGAATTTTTTCATTTTTTCAATTTCAATTAATTTCCATTAACACTTAAGACCCCTATAACATTTTACTAGCTTTGTTACGTCTCAATCGGTTACTTTTGATAACAAGGCTACACTCTTTTATTTTTAGTTATATATTTATTAAATATACTTGATAACGCAGTAAATGTTTGTTTGTAATGTAAATGTTTGTTTGTAATGTAATTGTAAATGTTTGTAATTGTAAAAGTAAATGTTGTTATGTAACTGTTTGTTAATGATTGCCGTATTGCTAACAACCATATTTACTTTTTAATGCAAAATAGCTTCGTCTCAACTGGTTTAACCAGTTGAGCTATTTTACATTAAAAAGTAAATATGGTTGTTAGCAAAACGGCAATGATAAACAAACACTAAGTAATACTTAGTTACGAAAAAATAATGTTTCAATTCGCAAGGTTACGTTTTAATTAGCTTTATGTAAATAAATGAGATTAGCAGTAAGCAACCCGTAATACGCGTTGTTAGTAAATGAAATTAAAAAAAAAAAACGCGTATAGAAAAGCCTTAAAACTACTTTAAAATAGAAAAGCCTAGAAAATGACGTAATTCGACTAATAATATTAAATTAGCGTATTAATATTATCAGACGAAACGTAACGTAAAAAAAGGCAAAGTTAAAATGTCTCAAGTACAAAATAGTAAAAAATGGCCCGGGAAATTTGGTCATGGCAGCCCTCCTCATCTTATGTTTCATTTATTTATAAAATTTTTTTTAAAAATATTTTATGTATAAAATAATTTTTTAGTCATTTCAACCTAAATATTGATAAAAAACAAATATTTCTAAAACACTGCTGTAAGTTGAAGACTATAAATAGTAGACCTAATTGCTATTTACTATTGACTAGTATAGTAACATTTTCATCGTTTGACTAGTTGATACCAAAACATCAATGATTGCATTGTTATTAATTTAGTTATTAAGACAGTTCCAAATTCTAGAGAATTAGATTGTTGGATGTTGTCCGATACAGATTTAGATACATCCTTGTCAAACAGCAAACTATACTTATCTTCAAGAGATATTTCGAAACATTTCCTTGCATAGTATAATAATGCCTTTTGAAGCTGGTCTATTGTTACACAGGCATCAAATTTTCTGAGCAACCCACTGAGGTACTGCAATGCGTCAGTTGGCATTTTTTCAAAAAATTCTACAAAATTTCTTGGATCTAAATAAAATAAATCAGCATATAACATGCTTAGATAATCTCTGTTTTAAACTACTACCGTCTAAATATATACAAAAATTGTCAAGGAATTTAAAAAAGCTTTTGCTCTGTAACGGACATCATTATTGAATTCGATTGATGTAGAAACATCATGAAATTTTGTAACATGTCAATGTACAAATAATCAATAACTTGTGTTTCTTGATTGGAGATTTTGGTAAAGAAATTTCCAAATATCTTAGTAAGAGCTCTATCTTTTACCCATCAACGGTTTTCAGCGAATACAAATATATTTTTCAATTTGCTAAACTCATGCAAACATCGTAGAGTAAGTATGATTCCAATAAAAATACTGCACATGCGTTTAAAACACAAAATAAGGAAACAGTTTTAACCGCTTTTTTTGTAGCGTCACCCTTTTTTAAATTTAAGACATGCACATAACACAATACATGAATCTGGCCCGAGAGGACTCTATTTAACCAGATGTTGAATCCATTGTATTAACCTTGCATATTGGAGGCTCCATCGGTTACATTTTACAATACATAAATGCCTACTTTTACAAAAAAGCCACAAACCAAATCACACATTCCTTTTCCAGTTGTTGATGTACGATTGACTATCGATATTACACGTTTATGTGCAGCTTCTTAAACAAACCAGATCACAACAGAATATCATTTTTGACAACCACAACCTCTTCTGTTGCCAACTGAACCATGCCAGAATTCGCTTTTTCTAATCACCTCTTTGATGTGCGCTTCCAACAAACGGATCAAATTTGCCAAAAAGAAAAAGAAAATTCAAAAAGTTTTCATAATTTACACATTGCTTGATGACATTGTCATCAAGCTATGTGAACCCAGACTCTTCCTTATCTCTGTAGCTAAATCCACGCTTATCAAAAATTTTTAAAAGTTCTATGATTTTTTCTAAAATTAAACGATTCTCTTTAACCTCTTCATCATGTCGGCGCGTATAAATGCTTATGATATATTTGATATTGATTTTTAAAACATATGATGCTGTGCACTCTATGCAGCCTGCACAGTTTTTACAGTTTGTAATAACATGCAGTTTTTATGTTCTGATATTCTTTGATAAATATACTTGCAAAGTTATATCCACTATAGAAACTTGATTGATCTGAGGCTTTATTAAATGCTAGGCAAAATGAACAAAACAGTTTTTGTCTCTTTGCCAGTGATAAGACCTATTGTTTTAGAAATAAAACTTGTGTTAATTAATTTTAACGTTTAGATCAAAATTGTTTTTGTTTAAATGAAATTTAAAAAACGATTTAAAAAAATCTGATAGGGGTTTCTCAAAATAATTAGGCCATAATCTAACTGTTGTTAAATATAAAATAACGGTAGAAGTTTGTTAGATATTATAGTAATTATTGTTAATTATACAACAATTTAAATTACGAAATTTAAAAGTAACTAACTACTTCAATAACAAAATTTTAAAGTATCTAAAATGTTTCTAACTATCGTTATAAAACCTCAGTTAAACCTTGTCATAGTGAAGATATGATTGTTTTAGTATGACAAGGTTCTAACTGCATTTTGGGGGTATTTTTATTTTTTAAAGAAGATTGAAACATTTTTTAGTTACAAATAGTGATGCTAAAGGCAAGTGCTTATGTTATCATGTTTAAAAAATATTATCAATTGTTATTAATAAATTTTAATGGTAGGAGCATAACAGTTTTTGACATCGATTTAAACAAAACTAATTACGGATCAGTTAGAACTTTGTCAAACTAATGCTTCGAAATATCAAAAAGAATGTAGGCAAGCCACAAACGTTTTGGCAATAATATTTTTATTTCATATCTGAAAATACTTTTGCATTTTGATTGTATCTAAGTTTTATTTTTATTCATAATAGTTAATATGTTTTTTTAGATATTTTCAAATAACCTTTATAAAAAAGATAGTATATTCAAAATATAAAATAATTTATTTTTATTAACATTACCTGTTATAAAAATATCAATAAGATTACACCTTTTCTTATGTTAGCTATTTAATCCATAACTTATATATTAAAAAATTTTACTAAAAGATTTTTAGTTTTTTAATAATTAATTCTTGTTTAGGAGTATAATTATACTTGTGAGCATTTTTTGTAATAATTATTGTGCAAATTTAATATTTATATGATGTTATTAATGCGAGAGTATAATCTAAAGATATAACGAAAATGGTGGGATGAAGTATGTAGACCTACGAAATATACACTTGTTTCCTTATAAATAAAATACAAGTTTAGCCCAAAATATCTGTACCAATAGAAACCACTCGCAAAAAACCTTCAATATTGATTGGTCAAATAAAATTTTTTAGTTACTTTTACATCGTTTGTCATCATTATGATTGTAAATTTGAAAACACGCGTTATCAAATCTCCCAATTGCCAGTTAGGGGTCTTCCATAAACTACGTCACGCAATTTTTAATCGTTTTTGACATCTCCTCCCCATTTTCTCGTGACACAATCGTAGCACTTTAGCAGCAAGTTTTGTATGAGTTGTCGCAAAACAACACCCCTATCTTCTTTAGTGCGTTACTTTTTCTATCAGAAAAACGGTAGTTTTTCTGCAATCTTCTGACGTATCGTCGCTCATTTTTTATAATTCGTTAACATTAACTTATAATTCATATCGTTGCATAATAAAATTAACTTATAATTTACATCATTCTTTTTTCAGAATTTGTGCAATTACCAATTAGCAGATAAAGTTGCAGTTTGCGATGTTTAAGTCCTCTGGAGAGTTTTGAAATACCTTTAGTTTTTTAAATTTTTTTTGTAACTTATCCAAATTAATAAAAAAAATTTGATATAAAAAAAAATTTAGAATAAAATATTTTTTTATAAAATATTTACATACCTAATTTTAAATTTTAAATCAAAGATAAATTAACCGTCATTAAAGAAATCCTTAAAACGAAACTCAGTTCAACAATTAAAGTCTTGTTTCGAATTTTCAGAGGCCGAATTTTTGAATTAAACCTCAAACATTGAACTTCAACAATTCTTAAATTCAAAAATTCTTAAAGTCTAACGGACTTGTGACATGTACAGACGTCGTACAGACAACTGTGACGGCTGCGAAGAGCTTTCAACGAAAAAACAAATTTCACGAAAAAACAAAGAAAAAGATGGCGGGGCCAAGGTAACAATAAGGTTTTATTTGTCTAATAACATATGTTCAACAACATCTGTAAATATAATGATGTATAACTTCATCTCTCCAACAATGTCTGTAAACAAACTAAGGTATAACAACGTATGTCCAACAACATCTGAAATTTTATTGATGTCTAATAACATCTGTATAAAAAGTATATGATGTAGGTATATCATTTTAATTATATTAAGTATAACAACATCAGTGCAACTACATCTAGAAATTTTACTGATGTAATTACATCTTTTCAACAATTATGTTAAGAATAACTACATCTGTAGCACTGCATCTATAAATTATGTTAAGAATAACTACATCTGTAGCACTGCATCTATGAATTATGTTAAGAATAACTACATCTGTAGCACTGCATCTATGAATTATGTTAAGAATAACTACATCTGTAGCACTGCATCTATGAATTATGTTAAGAATAACTACAACTGTAGCACTGCATCTATGAATAATGTTAAGAATAACTACATCTGTAGCACTGCATCGAATTCTACAGATGTAGTTACATCTTTTCAATAAAAATAAGTAAAACTACAGGAATTTATGAAATTATTAAATTATAATGCATTATTTTAACCAGATGTGGTTTCATTTATGTTTTTTTTTTTTCAATTTTTTTTCAGTTTTTTTTTTCAGTTTTTTTTTTTTCAGTTTTTTTTTATTTCTATAAAAAATTTATTCAATTATAATGAATTATTTTAAACAAGTTTAGTTTCATATAAGGCTTTTTTCAGATGCAGTTACATTTAAAAAAAATAATAAATTTAAATGCATTATTTTAAACAGATGTTATTGGAAAAAAAAAAAGATGTAGTTACATCTTCCTAAAGATGTTGTTAAGGGTCATTGAGTTTCCAGATGATATTTGACAGATGTTGTTTAACTAAATAAAAATACAGATGATCTTGGACTGCTCTACATATGTTTTTGGAAAGATGTCGTAATCTTTTACCTTTTGGCGCATTTCTGATCAAATTTCCTTTAGTCTTATTAGTATTTATTTTAAACCATTAAGAGGTTTAGAATTTTGTGAAAAATTTTAAGTAAGACTTTTCATCAGCGCAAGTGGTTTGAACGCCCGTTTATGGTCGAAATTTTCGAAAAAAATCGAAAGTTTACATTAAAAAGAAAATAACCGAATCCCAGTGTTAATTATGTAATAATTTTTTGTACGTCTTGTCTAAAACATGTACTTAGTTGTGCACGCGAAAGAAGAAGCTCAAAACAACATTGTCAACATTAACATTTATTATTTAAGACGCAAAATCTGTGACATACTATGTATGTTTTGGATTTTTATTTCTCTAAACAAAGTAACATTCCAAAAGACACTCAAAAAACATAGGGGTCAATACTCAAAATTATCATCTCATTTTGTTTATATATTAAGAAAAAGATTTTTCTAAGCTTTTTTTAAATAATAAACAATTTATACTAAACAATTTTTAATATAAAAAAAATCTTAATTTATTTTTTTGAAAATTGAACTATGGCTAGCAGTTTTCAATAATATATTATCTTAACATCATATCTCTTTGTTATAATTATAATTTTTAATTTTTTAGTTTTTTTTCATAGATTTTATAAATTTATAATTATGATTATACCGTAAAACATCATTGTTAATCATTTCATCATCAATCATCATGTAATTTAAATAATAGCGTTGTAATTTACAATGCTATTAATATTATACAAGTTAAAAATAAAAAAGTAAAACAATTTTTACCCTGAAAATGTATCTTCAAGAGTGTAAATATTATTCTTATTTTTAGCGAATTGATGAGCAATATCTTTTGTTCCTGACCAAAACAATGCCTTAAAAAAATAATAATTGCAGTCAAGTTTTTTGTATATACTTCAAGCATAATAAAAAAACAGCAAGAGTAATAAGAAAAAGCAATTAAATAACTACAATCTAAAGTTAAATGCTGAAAAGTACGTAAATTAAAATTACCTTATCTTTTATTACTTGTACATTTTTTTCAATAACGTGATTAAAAAGATCGTTGAAGTTTTTTGTTTCGCATGCTTTTTTATCGGCGATGCCGCTTAAATATTTTTTCCACAAATTTTTGCAATCGATTTCATCTTTTAACTTCAAATCGTCACTCTTTTGTTTATGTTTTTTTTGAAAATCGTTACAACGATCAATGACAGTTTCTTGAAAAGTTTGATATGAAAATTTTCGTACAGGACTTGCGCAAATAAAGGAGAAAACGGCAAGAAATCCAAACAATACAAACACTTTCATTCTAATATTTATCTACAGAATAATTTAAAAGTTAAAATTTCAAATATAGAGTATAAAGTCTGCTTACCATAAATAAATAATAAATGCAGGGTAGAGCGGGACATATAAGGACACTTAACAAACAAATGTTAGTTGCGGATAAACTAATCATAGTTAACACTGTTTTTTATAAATTTCGTAAAATTCATTGATATAAAAAAAAAAAAAATAAAAAAAATAAAAAAATTTTCTAAAAATATGTTCTGACAATTAAAGTAACGAAACTCTAGACTAGAAAAACTTTTACATTTTGCAAGTGGGTGGGGCAAAACAGGACTGTTAAAAAGCAGCAGTTATTCGTCAACTATAAAGCTTTAAAAATGATAAAAAATGAAGGCTGTTAATCGTCTAAATATGTTCAGACATTAAACTCTTAAAAAAGTAATATACCCATAGAAACTACACGGCCATACACCCATACTTAAAAAAGTAATATACCCATAGAAACTACACGGCCATACACCCAAAAAAAAAAAGCAGATAAAAAAAATATATTTTTTGTGTGTTATAATATAAAATACCTCCACTCTACTCTAACCTATATATTATTAAATTTGTAACTGCTACTAAATTGGAAACTAAACAAAAAGCTTTATGGATTACATAAATCATACAAAATGTATTCTGAAACTGTTAGGCAACATTTTGATGAGCTGGCTTATTAGCAATACGCCAATGTAGAGCAAACCTAAATATGTCATACGTATCAATAGCTTTTCTAATTCTAAGTTTCTGTTTACTCACAACTAAAACTGAGTTTAATTTTTTGTTTTGGATGATTGATCTTTCTTATATAATTTCCAACCTTTTATTGTTTACAATAAACACCATTAATAATCGAAATTAAGTTAAAAAGACAACTATAAAAAGAATTTCGTTAAACTTATTGCTAAAATTGATTTTCTAAAATAAAATATTTTAGATTAAAAATAATATCATCAAACTGTAAACAGCATCGCGAAATGGTATTAATACACTCAATTAAATAAATACTTTTGTTGTCTCGATATGCCCCACAAAAGTCATTTTACTGAAACTAATACTTTTTTTTTTTTTTTTTAACACCTTTGCTTCCAACGAGGCTGCAAGCAACCACTAAATAGAGTTAGAAGTTACTGGAAGAGAAAAGATGAAGATTGTAGAGCAAGATAACGATTGACAGACGACTTAAAATATTGCAAATTATATAAATCAGGAAAGCAAGATGAAGGAAGCGAATTCCAAAGAACTGATGTTCGAGGAAAAAAACTAGACGAATAAGAGTTTTTTGAGCACTTAGGAACAGTAACAGAAAAAGGATGAGACTTAATTGAATGACGAGTAACACGAGAATGAATTTTTGTAGATGGCACATGAGACGCTAGCTCTTTAAAGCAGTGCCCATTATAATATTTGTAGAAAAGAAAAAGAGAAGCAACGTTACGACGATGTGACAGAGGTTGAAGGTTGGCTGCAAAAGTAGGTCCAACTATGTTTACATTGCGTTTTTGCACCTTGTCTAAAAGAGAAAGGGCATCATTAAAAGATCCACCCCAGATATGGCAACAGTTTTCCATACAAGGCCGGACTTGAGATTTATAGATATAGAGAATAGAATCCAGAGTAAGAAAGTGACGAGCTCGATAAAGAGAAGCGACGTTAGCAGATACTAATTTTGCAACAGATTTGATGTAAGGTTTCCAAGAAAGATCAGAAGTAAGAGTTAATCCTAGAAGATAAAGGGTAGATGACTCATCGAGCACATTACCGCTCATAAATATAGGAAGGTCTAAATTGTTGCGATAACGATTGGCTGAAAAAAATTGAGTTTTATCTGAATTAAAGTTCACCAGCCACCGTGGGCCCCATGCTGTAGCAGAAGTGAGCTCCTTTTCAAGCTCAGATGCCCCCTGCAAGCAATCAGAGGGAGTTGGCTTCTTATCGTGACAAGAATAAATGGTAGTATCATCAGCGAACAATGCCACCTTAGATGTCAGAATATCTGGAAGATCGTTAATGTAAATTAAAAAGAGTATAGGGCCAAGGATTGAACCTTGAGGAACCCCTGAGGCTACAGAATAAGAAGAAGAGTGCTGTCCATCAAAAACAACTTTTATACTACGATTGGAAACGAAGGGTTCGATAGTCTTAAAGATGTTTCCAGATACACCGTAAGAAGAAAGCTTATGGAGAAGACCAGCATGCCAAACTTTATCAAACGCCTTAGAAACGTCAAGAGCGATGACCTTAACCTCTCTACCTTTATCTAATGCTTCTCATTCTACGGCTGATTTGCTAATAGTAATAACCTATTGGTATTACTGTTAGCAAATAAGCCGTAGAATGAGAAGATCGAAACCCATATTGATGATCAGAAAGTAGATTATGAGATTCGAGATGAGAGATTAAGTGTTTGTTAATTAAAGATTCAAAAACCTTACTTATGATAGGAAGAAGACTAATGGGACGGTAGTTAGACGAATCGGATCGCTCTCTAGAATTTTTAAAAATAGGGATAACAGATGCTGCTTTCTAGCAGGCTGGAAAACAAGACTCTGATAATCACTTGTTAAATAGTTTTGAAAGGATAGACGACAGCTCCGGAGAACACTTCAGCAAGACTATAACAGGTATGTTGTCCGGGCCGCAAGCTGTAGAAAGTCTAAGCAGGAAAACACTTTAGATACAGAAGCTGGAGTGATACGGATGTCGAGCAGTGAACCTATTTGACGGCTATATCAGGTAGAACGCAACTAGTGGAATCCAGAGATGATATTGATGAAAAGTTCTTGGCAAACAATTCAGGTTTTTCTTTAAGTGAGGTGACAAAGTCTAAACCGTACAAAAGAGGTGGAATTACAGACTTGCCGTTATTATTGATACTACTAAAGATTCTCCAGAAGTCACGAGAGCCTAATTTTTGTGATGAAATACGAGATTTCATGATCTGAGAATAGCGGGCTTTGGCGTTAGACAAAACCCTTTTACAATGGTTCCTAGTAGTAATAAACAGACGTCTGTTTTTTAGAGAATTGTTTTGCAGATAGATATGGAAGTAATGGTTTCGATTAGCAATTGCTAATCGAATTTGCACAATGTGAGGTAAACTATGAAGAAGAGTGAGGCTTGACCTGGAATCTTCAAGAGGAAATAAAAGATTCCATGCTAGCCTGAATCCACGAAGATATGTAAGAAGCACATTTGTCAACAGGAAGACGAAAGATTTCTACCCAGGGGCCATCACGAAGAAAATCACGGAAAGAGTCCCAGTCAGCTTTAAGGTAGTTGTAAGATGTACAATGATAGGGGGATTCTGATAGTACAGAAAAATGAGATAATAGTTTTAGAGAGACCAAACCATGATCAGAAGCACCTAAGAGTGAGTGTGGTGAAACTGAGCACTGACTAGGATCAGAAACAAGACATAAGTCGAGTAGAGAAGGTAAATGATTCGGGTTGTCTGGAAAGCGAGTTGGAAAGTTGACTATTTGAGTTAGAGATTGAGAAAGACAAAAATTGTGAGCCTTAATGCCTGCAAAATCACTAATACTAGAAGCAAGCCATTCAGTGTGATGAACATTAAAGTCACCGACAACAACAATATTGGCTGATGGATAAAGAATGAGGGCTTGGTCAATATAATCAGAAATAACATCAAGAAGAGTGCAGTCTTAAGATGAAGGAGAGCGATATAGAACAAAGAGAAAAGTGATAGAGTGAAGTGGTGCTAAACGAAAGCGCATAAAAGAGTAGTCTGTGAATTCTTACGAATGTAAATCCCTAGGTTAAGCATGTGACTATTGGAGTCTTTACGAATTAAAGGAAGATAACTATCAACACTAAGATCACAAGATGAGACAGCTGAACTCAAATTAGTCTCACAAAGAGCAAGTAGGTCTGGTGAACTTTGCAAGAGATAAGACTCAACAGAAGAAAAGTTACTTCGAAGACCACGAATATTGGTGAATGATAGGTTTAGCGAACTTGGTGATATACTATGGTTTTTTGTGTTTTATAGTTTTTGTTACTTTATTCATTTTTAAATTTGTTAAAGAACTTGACTCGAAACATAAATAGTATTCAGTACTCTGTTTTATAGCTCAAGCAATTGCCTTATTTCCACTAATAAACCCTAAACTGTAACAAAGGGCTTCAATGTGGCCTTGGCAATGCACATTAAAACTACAAACCGGGGCACCATCCATGCGCAACATGGCACTGTTAGTACTCTGATATTTTTCAGCTGTTGATGGAATTAGCCTTTATGAGAGCTACCACAGAGTTCGGGAAACCTGACTACCAGCCGGCCTTAGAACCATAAAACTGAGTTTTAGAGCTGTACCCTCATTTGGAGATAATAGAATGAGTTGCCTAGTCATAAAAAGAGAGACACAAGCAAAACCCATGCATCGAGTCAAGAAGATCCAGCGTTCAACATTCTAAACTGGAAACAATTTGTTATTGATGATGGAGAAGGGGTGCGAGGCTGGTCAACAGATTAAATCTGTTTACCCCTTAAGTCTTTGCCTAGGAGGCTATCTACAAGACAGCTGCCGGATACATTTAACATCTGCCCAAGATGAGTATTTTTAACAAGACACCATCTCTAGCCTTTACTCAACCAAGAGCCCCAAAGTAGGGGGTGTTTTATGTCGGAGTTTGCATCTCCTAGCCTTTGCCTAAAAAGGCATATCCTACAAGGCAGCAGGACATGAAGCAGATTGTACTGGGTTACATGTTACCAGTAGCAAGATAAACCTGTCCTGACCTTACTATTTAAAAAGTTCAATTCTAAATATATTTTTGAAAGCATATTCTAAAAGAGGATAATAAATACTGTCTGAAAAATATATACTTTTTACAAATAAAGCAAATTTGCAAGTTGTTGTTGTATCGCTTTAAAAAATACGCAAATCATTATTTTACAACAATGAAGCACAACAATTTTACAGTAATGAAGCACAACACAAAAAAAAAATTTTTTGAAAAAATAC